ACATGGAGATCATATCCCCCTTATGTATTATACATGGTGATCATATCCCCCCTTATGTATTATACATGGAGATCATATCCCCCCTTATGTATTATACATGAAGATCATATCCCCCCTTATGTATTATACATGGAGATCATATCCCCCCTTATGTCTTATACATGGAGATCATGTCCCCCCTTATGTATTATACATGGAGATCATGTCCCCCCCTTATATATTATACATGGTGGTCATATCCCCCCCTTATGTATTATACATGGAGATCATATCCTCCCTTATATATTATACATGGTGATCATATCCCCCCCTTATGTATTATACATGGAGATCATATCCTCCCTTATGTATTATACATGGAGATCATATCCCCCCATATGTATTATACATGGAGATCATACCCCCCTTATGTATTATACATGGAGATCACTTCCCCCCTTATGTATTATACATGGAGATCATATCCCCCTTATGTATTATACATGGAGATCATATCCCCCCTTATGTATTATACATGGAGATCATATCCCCCTTTATATATATTATACTTGGTGATCATATCCCCCTTATGTATTATACATGGAGATCATATCCCCCCCCCTTATATATTATACATGGAGATCATATCCCCGTTATGTATTATACATGGTGATCTTATCCCCGTTATGTATTATACATGGAGATCATATCCCCCTTATGTATTATACGTGGAGATCATATCCCCCTTATGTATTATACGTGGAGATCATACCCCCCCTTATGTATTATACGTGGTGATCTTATCCCCCTTATGTATTATACGTGGAGATCATATCCCCCTTATGTATTATACGTGGAGATCATATCCCCCTTATGTATTATACGTGGAGATCATACCCCCCCTTATGTATTATACGTGGAGATCATATCCCCCCTTATGTATTATACGTGGAGATCATATCCCCCTTATGTATTATACGTGGAGATCGTATCCCCCCTTATGTATTATACATGGAGATCGTATCCCCCCTTATGTATTAAACATAGAGTTCATATCCTCCCTTATGTATTAAACATAGAGTTCATCCTCCCTTATGTATTATACATAGAGTTCATATCCCCCCTTATGTATTATACGTGGAGATCGTATCCCCCTTATGTATTATACGTGGAGATCGTATCCCCCCTTGTGTATCATGCGTGGAGATCGTATCCCCCCTTGTGTATCATACATGGAGATCGTATCCCCCCTTATGTATTATACAAGGAGATCATATCCCCCTTATGTATTATACATGGAGATCATATTCCCCTTATGTATTATACATGGTGATCATATCCCCCCTTATGTATTATACATGGAGATCATATCCCCCGTTATGTATTATACATGGAGATCATATCCCCCTTATGTATTATACATGGAGATCATATCCCCCTTATGTATTATACATGGTGATCATATCCCCCTTATGTATTATACATGGAGATCATATCCCCCCCTTATGTATTATACATGGAGATCATATCCCCCCTTATGTATTATACATGGAGATCACATCCCCCTTATGTATTATACATGGAGATCATATCCCCCCTTATGTACTATACATGGAGATCATATCCCCCCTTATGTACTATACATGGAGATCATATCCCCCCTTATGTACTATACATGGAGATCATATCCCCCCTTATGTATTATACATGGAGATCATATTCCCCCCCTTATGTATTATACATGGAGATCATATCCCCCTTATGTACTATACATGGTGATCATATCCTCCTTATGTATTTATACATGGAGATCATATCCCCCCTTATGTATTATACATGGAGATCATATCCCCCCTTATGTATTATACATGGAGATCATATCCCCCTTATGTATTATACATGGAGATTATATCCCCCCTTATGTATTATACATGGTGATCATATCCCCCCCCTTATGTATTATATATGGAGACCATATCCCCCTTATGTATTATACATGGAGATCATATCCCCCCTTATGTATTATACATGGTGATCATATCCTCCCCCTTATGTATTATACATGGAGATCATATCCCCCCCCCTTATGTATTATACATGGAGATCATATCCCCCCCCCCCTTATGTATTATACATGGTGATCATATCCCCCCCCTTATGTATTATACATGGAGACCATATCCCCCCTTATGTATTATACATGGAGATCATATCCCCCCTTATGTATTATACATGGAGATCATATCCCCCTTATGTTTTATACATGGAGATCATATCCCCCCTTATGTATTATACATGGAGATCATATCCCCCCTTATGTATTATACATGGAGATCATATCCCCCTTATGTATTATACATGGAGATCATATCCCCCCTTATGTATTATACATGGAGATCATATCCCCCCTTATGTATTATGCATGGAGATCATACCCCCCTTATGTGTTATACATGGAGATCATATCCCCCTGATGTATTATACATGGAGATCATATCCCCCTTATGTATTATACATGGAGATCATATCCCCCCCTTATGTATAATACTCCGCCCATTCGCCTCACTTCCATTTTCGAAGTAATGCGATATTCAGTCACTAGGAACCCAAAGGACTCCTGGGATAGAGAAAAAGACGTTACAAATCGCCTTAACACGTCATCGCCTAGGCGGCCGGGCCCAGAACTACAGTCCTGAAATACGATTTTAAGGTATTTACATTAAGATTAAAAAAAAAAAACTGTATCCAAATCGTGCTGGACAACACACGAACCATGTGATCAGAGGAACTTTAAAATGCAACTCTGCGTTAAGCTGAGTATACAAAAACCTCACAGATTCCTTCATCAACACAAATGACCTGGATGCAGGGATGTCACCTGCTGCTCTACTGTATTCAGTGGGGACTCCTCCCCTGTAGAATACACAGATCAGCACTGCAGCCATTGTCTGCATGTGCTGATCAAACGTTGGATTTCCATCAGGACCATTCGAAAGAAGATGCTCGTTAGACCAGCTTCTGTTGAACAGAGAGGGGAGCACACATCAAAATTAGGCCGGATCCTGCTGAACCAGCCAGATTTCAGTTAAAGTATATCCAGCTTAACTCCAATTCTGTAATTACGGTCAGATCATTTTGTGAGCTATGCTGACGAGACAGACAGGCGAAACACTTATTTCTTTGTTGGGTAATGCAGCTCTCCACCTCCAGCCTGTTCACTGGTTAAAGAATCTACATTATCACCTCTGTCCAAAGTGCTGATTCAGAAGGAAGTTCTGCTAACCTCCCTAGCGGTCTGATTATGTCCATATTTCTGTGCTGAAAGCGGTACCGTTATTTTGCATGAAAATATGTCGTTTTTTTATTGTAGGCCTGTAATTTTTAGGAATAACTCACTGAAATCTGTCCGAACAAGAGTCTAGTAAACATCCCGGATATGATAAAACTTGAAACACAAAATTATAAATGATCATTTAATAAATAATCATAAAAAATAATAATAATAAATGTAATTCAATAATATAATCAAACCAAAAACACTGAAATGTGAAATAGAGCGCCAAGTTCGCACATCGCTGAGCTCAGTCGCAGAATCGTTTTCAGTGTCTGATGAGGAATTTCCCCCACGAATCATTATCACTCAATTCTGCAAGTGGTTCTGATTTACTATCGCTGTTCTCTAGCCGGTCTAAAACCGCGTCTGACCTAAAGGGACGCTTTTTGGACGCCATGAACTTTTCTACGTTTCCAGGCAGAAAGAACAGTAAAAATGCAGGCAGGGCGCCGGACAAAGCACTCGGGACACAATGTATGTGAAATGGTTTGATACAGGAATGTTTTACTATGTAATATTCATTTATATAAAAATGACAGTTTTTAAAATGTTTAAATTTCCCGCCGGTTCCGGCCCCCATACGCCCCGACGCTCGCAGGGAACGGAACACGGAAGTCGGCTGGAGTTGGCCGGGGACGCTGCAGGGGACGCATCGCGGGAGCTAAGGACAAGGTAAGCGCTGCAGGGAATCCCTGAGCAACGCCGCATAGAAAGCCCGAGTGCAGCTCGGGGTTACCGCTTTTGGTACTGAAACTTTACCCCAAGCTACACTCGGGAATACCGCTATGGAGGCTAAACCAGGACCTAGCAGTGTGAGTGTTAAACTTCCACCCAAAAGGGGAAGTTCCGCTTTAAAGATTGTTCCCCGCTCCCCATTAACCTCCTCGGCGGTATGATTCTTTCCGATTTTTTGTGCTGAAAGCGGTACCATTTTTTTGCATGGAAATATGTAGTTTTTTATTGTAGGCTATAATTTTTAGGAATAACTCACTGAAATCTGTCCGAACAAGAGTCTAGTAAACATTCCAGATCTGATAAAACTTGAAACACGAAATCATAAATTATAATTTAATAAATAATCAAAAAAAAAATAATAATACATTTAATTCAATAATATAATCAAACCAAAAACACTGAAATTTGAAATACAGAGGCAAATTCGCACATCGCTGAGCTCAGTCGCAGAATCGTTTTCAGTGTCTGATGACGAAATTCCCCCACGAATCATTATCACTCAATTCTGCAAGTGGTTCTGATTTACTATCGCTGTTCTTAAACCGTTTTTGACGTAAAGGGATGCTTTTTGGACACCATGGACTTTTCTAAGTTTCCAGGCAGAAAGAACAGTCAAAATGCAGGCAGGGCGCCGGACAAAGCAGTAGGGACAAAATATATGTGAAATGCATTAAAACAGCAATGACAGCAAAAATTACATTTTTTTAAAATTTCAAATTTCCCGCCACTTCCGGCGCCCGTACGTCCCGACGTCACAGGGACCGGAACATGGAAGCCGGATGCCGGCATCGGCCGGAGGAGGACCCAAAAAACAAGGTAAGTGCTGCAGGGACCCCCTAAGCAACGCCGCATAGTAAGCCCGAGTGTAGCTCAGGGTTACCGCTCTTGGTATTGAAATTTTACCCCGAGCTACACTCGGGAACACCGCTAGGGAGGCTAAACCAGGACCTAGCAGTGAGAGTGTTAAAGCACAGTTCCACCCAAAAGGGGAAGTTCCACTTTAAAGATTGTTCCCCGCTCCCCATTAAGGATTGGCACCTTTGGGGAGCGGGTACCCAAATTTGACAGGTACCTGCTCCCACTTCTGCTGCGATCGCCTAGGCGATCGGAAGCGGAAGTTGTCCTCCTACCCTCCCTCCCCGAAGTCTTGTGGAACACGTAACAAGTCCCAGAAGATGTTCAGGAAGTGAAGCGCTACTCGTGCATGCGCAGTGGGCACCCGGCTGTGAAGCCACAAGCTGTCACACCCGGGTGCCCACACTGAAGATGCCGGCGCCTGGAATACAGGATAGCCGGTGATACAGGCTGCAGTGGGGGCACCACGAGATCGTGGGACAGGTATGTGGCTGTTTTTTAAAAGTCAGCGGCAACAGTTTTTGTAGCTGCTGACTTTTATTTTTTTACAGAGTGAGTGCAACTCCGCTGTAAGTTAGAGTTATAGTAGAGATGCGTGTTTGCTGTAACTGATTATAAAATGTGAGCTGGAGTTTGCTTGTGGGCATGTTGATGAAGGTGGAGAGCGAAATCAGGGAAGGCAAAATATAAGCAGAATAAACTGGAGCTTTAAGAAAATTTTAGAGAGCAGATTGGTCGGAGAGAAGCATAGAGTAAAAGAGAACAAAAGTCAGGGAAGAACAGAGGAGAGGTGGAAGGGAGAGAAGGGGAAAAGGAGAGCCAGAACAAAAGATGGAGGGAAATGAAGAAAAATGCAGGCAAGCGGGTCAAAGACAACACTAGTAGCTGCCTCTGTCATTATCCAGTAGACTCGCATTCCAATGTATTAAAACAAACAAAAGCATATAGCAACAACCATATATCTCCCGATCAATACAGAGTACAAGGACGCGCATTCCTGCAATCACTAGATCAATATGTCAATGCCTGTGCTTCTTTCAGCCCCATCTCAACCAAGACCAATTTTCTCCATATATAACCTGGTCAATAAGTCTTCAATGCTGCATTCACTAAGAGCTATTGTTTTTTCTTTCGAGCAGCGGTGAATTTGTACATCACTTCATCCGGCCAATGTACCGCTTGTACACATCTTTGTATAACATTTTCAGGCTTTGCCTTCCCAGGTACTGCCACCCTCAGCACAACATCTGTAGCTTGTAGTTCAGCCATTCCCTGTTTTTTGCAATGCTGTAGGTAGCCAGGTTAAAAAGAAGTCACCCTCCATGAAGGCCAAAAGCACTAAACATGAAAATAAAAATGGAACATAATGCAGATTGGAAGTCCTTGATCAAACCCGCCCCGCAGGCCAGAGTACTTGGTGTCATTCTGGACTCCAACCTATCCTTCCAGCTCCAAGTCCAATCTTTAACAAACTCGTGCAAACTCGCAACATGCAGACTCCACCTCCGCAACATCGCCAAAATCCGCACGTTCCTAACCCCAGAAACCACTAAACAGCTCATCCACTCCCTCATCATATCACGACTCGACTACTGCAACTCCCTCCTCACTGGCCTGCCTCGCCGCTGGCTATCCCCCCGCTTCAGTCCATCCTGAATACGGCTGCCACACTCATTCACCTTTCCAACCGCTCCATCTCTCCGCCACCCCCCTCTGCCAATCCCTCCACTGGCCTCCACTCAGTGTCCTCCACCCCCCTCTGCCAATCCCTCCACTGGCCTCCACTCAGTGTCCTCCACCCCCTCTGCCAATCCCTCCACTGGCCCCCACTCAGTGTCCTCCACCCCTCTCTGCCAATCCCCTGACCTCCACTCAGTGTCCTCCACCCCCCTCTGCCAATCCCTCCACTGGCTTCCGATTGCGCAACGGAAATTCAAAATCCTGACATACAAAGCCGTCCACCATACTGCCCCGAACTACATCACCGACCTAATATCCAAGTACCGCCCACACGAACACTCCGCTCCTCACAAGACCTCCTTCTCTCTAGTTCCCTGGTCTCCTCCTCCCATTCCCGCCTCCAGGACTTCTCCAGGGTGTCACCCATCCTCTGGAACTCCCTGCCCCAACCCATCAGATTATCACCTACTCTCCGCTCTTTTAGGCGCACCCTGAAAACCCATCTCTTCAGGGAAGCCTACCCCACCCCCTGCTAACTTGCCGACCTCCTCCACTCTTCCTACCACTCCATCCCCCACAGCTATCTCCTCCTGTGCCACCATCCCCTCCCTCCTAGATTGTAAGCTCGAAAGAGCAGGGCCCTCGATCCCCTCATGTTTTGTATTGTATTGTTATTGTTCTGTCCCCCTCTGTAATGTACAGCGCTGAGCGAACTATTGGCACTTTATAAATATTGTATAATAATAATAATGTGGTAGCTGCATTCGCAGGGATGTGCAATTCCTATAGCCCGATGCCCGGGACATGCAGTTTTTCCTTATATTTACCCCTGCAAGCAGCAGGAATTAGAGCCAATGGTCCGCTCTCTTGTAAAAGTAATCCAATTGGCTAACTAGGCACTGGATTGCTTTTACAAGCAGCGGGAGAGGACGTCCCCCTTTCCACGGGCTGTCCTGTTGCGCCAGGAAACCCGATCGACCATTTGGTGCTTTCACTCTGATATATGAAACAGGAAGCGATGAGCATACTTCACTTCCAGTTTCTCCGTATGTAAATGGCGCCATTTTTAAAAATGGAAAGCATTTGATCACACCGATCTTGTGTGATCAAATACTTTTAAGGGCAGAGTAGGGATCTGGGGTCTTACTGATCCCAGATCTCTCGATAAAGAGCAACTGTCACTGCCTATTGCTGTCAAAAGGGATGTTTACATTTCTTGTGACAGCAATAAAAGTGATCAAAAAAAGAAAAAAAGTAAAGTAACGGTGTTAAAATAATTTAAAAAATGTTTTAAGGCACCCCTGTCCCCAAAGCCGAATGCATGCATCGGTCCTGCACACATGTCATGCATCAACGAGAATTTCAGCTTTTATGGGCAGTAATTCTAGCATCAGACCTACTTTGTAAATCTAAGGTGGTAACCTGTAAAGGCTTTAAAAGCGTCACCTATGGATAGTAAAATATATGTTGCTTGTTGCTGCTGCACGTGCGCAATTTTAAAGCGTGACACATTTGGTATCTATTTAAAGTAACACCATCTTTCATATTTTACAAAAAAATTGGGTTTAGTATTGTATTGTATTGGTTTTTTTGCATTAAAATTAAAAAAAGTGTATCTTTTCCCAAAAAAATTGCGTTTGAAAAACTGCTGCGCAAATACCATGTTACATAAAAAATGCAAAACTCAACCTATTTATTCTCTAGAAACTCTGCTTTAAAAAAAAAAATATAATGTTTGAGGGTTCTAAGAAATGTTATAGCAGGTTAGGTCGCTATAAAGCCCCTTTTTGTTTTTAAAAGCCTCAAAGACTCCTAAAAGCACCTCTGCCTAATAAAAAAAAATCAACCCTTCATAATTTCCAAACTGGCAAAAAATTGTTAAATTGTTGTTGTTTTTTTTTTATCAGGACAAACAGATTATCATGAGGGACAAGTAGATTGGAACCCTGATTTAGTTAGTTTTTTTTTTTTTAATTTCCACACCCCTGATTCGTTTTTTTTTTTCCTTCCTTCGCCTGTATACACTTGTGGTCCTAGGATGACAATGGTCACTCACTCTACTGTATTAGGACAACAGAAACAGGACAGAACTACATGACTCCACCCTTCTGCTATTGTCTATAACAGAGATCCCAAACTAAAGCCCACGGCCAAATCCGGCCTGCTGAAAGATTTTTATCCAGCCCTCTAATGCAAGAGGGGACTCTGATGTAAGGGTGACTTTGATGGGGATTCTGATCGGCTAAAGTTTATTATCACATGCACCACATCAGTGTGAACCCGGGCTTAAACTTCTGGCATTTGCAGGGTGTGCTAACCACCCATGTGAACTGACCCAGGCTCTATGACATTGGGTCTCACACCTAGGTATGAACAAAGTTGGACATTCCTAGTTTTCTGCTGCAAGATTAATTACCATTCTCACAAGGGTATATATGGGTGGCCTCTGTGATTAAGCCCCTAAAAGGGTTAAACGCGTCTGAGGAGTGCTCTACGGGTGGAGACCAGGATCTGAAGCCATCTTTTACCCATTCCATTACATTTAGGCAACACGGAGTCTGTGTCTGAGTCCAGACAGGCGCCATCTTGTTGAAGTCTACTGGAGCCTGTCTGTCTTGCACCAGTCTTTTTCACATGCTGCTCCGACTGACACAGGTATTGGAGCGGAACTATTTTTTATTGTTTTAAACTACATAGGTACGAACAAGTTGCACATTCCTAGTTTTCTGCTGAAAGGTTAATTACCATTCTCACAACAAGAGGCATTTTTATATGGGCTTAGAGGATACGTTCACCTTTAGGAACATGGTACATGTTACATGTTCCACACGTTTTTAGGGTAACATGTTCCCAATCCTGCAGCTGCCGCCTTCTGCCCTCCTCCCCCTATGACAGAAGAACGGGGAATATCTAGCTGTCACTTTTTAAAAACAGCGCAGCCATCCGGGGCTCTGCCCACACGACCACGTCATTCATTTTCAGCCCTCTGTGAAGGAATGGACTACAGGTCCCAACAGCCTGAGTGGCTCTCGGCTTGTAGTCCTGAATGAACTACCATGGCGCTATAAGTGCCACGGTAGTTCATTGATTCTTCCTGTCAGAAGCATCGGCTTGCTCATATGGGATATACGAGCAAGCAGATACACTGACAGTCTGCAGGAGGCCTGCATGGCATCAGCAATCTGCTGATCGCGTGTGCAATGCTTTAGAGGCTCCTAACAGAAAAAATAATAAATGCACATTTTTTTACCTCCAAAAAAATGTGCATTTATTATTTTTTGTGTAAAGCTTGAAAAACACTACTAGCCTAAAATAGTGTGCATGGACACATAGGATAACACTATTAACTTCTAGGACAGTGGTTCTCAACCTGTGGGTCGCGACCCCTTTGGGGGTTGAATGACCCTTTCACAGGGGTCCCCTAAGACCATCAGAAAACACATATTTCCGATGTGTAAAGAGCAGCTACTGTGTAGAAAGCAGCTGCTGTGTTGAAAGCAGCTACTCTGTTAAAAGCAGCTACTGTGTTGAAA